TAGTTGCAAGTTGATTTCTTGCAGAGGGGAGCCATGCTGGAGATGGTGCATTTCACCATCTTGTTGGCATCACTTCCTCCAAATATTTTTAATTCAATTATTGTTCGGTTCAAGCACATACAACAGTCTGAGTAAAACTGTGAGTATTACTGGACTTCAGATTCTGTCCAAGGTTGAAGACATCCTTCGCACCATACTGAGGAAGGTTTGCCTTCTCTCTTGAGTTGGTAGGCATTCGTTTCTTTCTCATAGCTCATCTGTCTCTTTCCCAGCATGCTCAAGTCTTCCATCATGTCTCTTCTGCATTGTCATATAAGCAACCCTCCTGCTGTGAGAATTTTAGCTTGTCATGCATCAGTCTGCGTGCACAGTCCTGACTACAGGAGTCTAGGTAGAGGAGACCTTTTACCCGTGTATTCTGTGAAAGTTCTGTTTTTCTTTTAAAATTGTTCTTGGTGTATCTGTGTGGATACCACTCCTTTTCTACCCCTTTCCCATGACTAGTGACATGCTGATAATTTTTTAGCCTACCCAAGGAGCAAAATCAGTAGAGTATATTTACCTGTTGTTGAATCAGAAGATAAATGGCCTGTTAACGGCCTCGACTAGTTGTCAGTGCCCAGGAACAGATGTGCTCAGTTCAGCCTTATTTTGCTTCTGGTTTTACATCAGGGATCTTCCCTCCTGTTCTCTGTGACCACAAAAGAATCCAACTTCAGTCCCAAAGTTAATGATTAAATATGTTCAATGGCACAGATTTCAGAAAAGCTTGGCTACTCTACAGGGCACCCAGCCCTCCTGCCCATTACTTGCTGGCCTTGACCGTATGCTTACTCATTGCAGGGTTACTTGCAAAATTAGCAGCAACAAGGAAAAAGGCAAAAAAAAATTACTCAATTAGGGTGAAACCATATTAAATGGTAACACTTAATACTGGTAAAATAAATGGTTGCATTTTATGTTGGTTCAAGGCTTTTGTGGTAATCCCATTCTTAGGAATTTATCTGAAGGGACTAATTCAACAGAAGGAAATAATACTGCACACAGATGCTTACTGCAAAGTCTGTAAGGGCGAAAAAGCATACATCACGTACACGTCCTGTCACTTTTGGACAGCGTGCATCTGCTGAAATGGCAGCCAGCAGAACGGGGCAGCAGCATGGGAAATTGTGTATGAAAACGTCCTGCTCAGTGAAAGAGCACAGGGTACATGACAGCGGGCGTGTGTCCACTGCGATGGAAGCCTGGGAAATTAGAGGTGTATATTCAAATGTGCTTTAGAAAAGTGGAAATCATTTTATGGTAGGGAAATTATGGGTGACTTTCAGTTTTCAAAACTTTTTTTAATGCCATCATATTGCTAAAAGATGAAAGCAGCAGGAGATCCTGTCTTCTGTTTTTTGAAAAGGATGGTATCTCCCAAATAAATAGGAAGAAAAGGTTTTTCTTGTAACTCATTGCATATAACACCATCAGTGTTTGCCTCCACCTCTGTTTGTGTAGGTGGAGGGCTTCCAGGCAGTATTAGCCCTGACTTGGGTCTGAGTCGCTTAGTGGAAAGAGGTCTGTGGTGTGCCCCCTGTAACCTGTCCCCTTTCCCTGCAGGAGCTCAGCGAGATGCTGTACACAGACCGGCCTGACTGGCAGAGTGTGATGCAGTACGTGGCGCAGATCTATAAGTACTTCGAGACATAAATCTGGTCACCTGCGACTTGTCCTGGAAGCACCTGGTCACTTTCCACCAACCCTGCTCCCCCCACCACCCAGTTGTCTGGATTTCAAAGGAAGGCACAATCTGAATGGACCAACACACAAACAAGAAACAGAGCTAGGTTCTGCGGTGTACCCATCCCAAATGCGCACGTTTGGTGTGTCAGTGAAGCTTTGCTCTCCCGCAGGATGTTTCTAAGGAGGATGGCCTTCCTCCTTCCAGACCAAGACTCCACACCCAAATCCATTTCCTTGAGAAACCAGGACAACGTCGCCAATCACATTGGGGATTCCCAAATCAATTCTTTTTCTTTTTTAATTTAAAAAACCCTGACATTTGCCTTTATAAAAATTTTGTTCTTGCCATCTTCCCATCCCCACCCCAAAAGAAACCAACAAACAGAAACATTTCCCCCAGAGCGGCCTGGAAACACGTTGGCCCTGCCTTTTGGGGAAATATGCTCAAGTTCTAGGTGACAGTTTTAACACCTAGAATTCAGTTCCATTTTTATATCTGACGGTCCCTTATTTGATTCTTCTGGTGAGAAGTGAAGCATGTGAGCACAGAGGAGCCTGTGGCACCTTGCTGAAGGGTCCCTGTGATGTGTCCCACAGAGCGAAGTATGCACTCGGACACACACATGGCGGGTCGTTTACACACAAAAGGCACTGACCACCCACGCCTTTTGCCCTCCTGTTTGTTCACATGCCCATCACACTCACACATGTTTGTGCCACATACAGAATGGACAAGGTCACGTGCATGTGAAATGGCCTGTGTCAGGTCTTCAGGTACTTGCGCAATTAATTAGGCTGAGGCGTGTATCTGGGGACTCGGGACAGACAGCACATCGCACAGTATTTCAACTCTAAGGACTGATTTAGTCTCAGAACTTCATGAGGCCTCCCCCACATTTGAATGGCAAAAGGAAGCCCTTCAGGGTGGGTGGCGATGCCTCCTTTTATAATTGAACAAAGAGAAAAAGCAGTTTCCCCCATACCCTTCCAGTTTCCCTACCTGGCAGCAGAGCGCTCCCCAAAGCTGCCCCGGTCTGGCCCAGGTAACCACCTGCTGGCTGTTTGTGGGCAAATAAGCGTGCATTTTGTAGCAGATGAAGGGGCAGCCCACACGGGCAGTTGAGATCGATGTGTAAGTGCCCATCACTTGCTGCTTTGGGTGGCAGATAGCTCTGTGTCAGTGCTCCACAGACGGTTGTCCTTACAATGAGTCCCTGACAATGAGAATTCCTGCCATGATTTTTTAAAGTAAATCTCTGATTGCTGATCTGAGCCACTTGTCCAGAGCCGGGTCCTAGCGGTCCATTCCCTGTGCTGGGAGAGGCCTGAGGCTCTATCCCCTCCCTCCAGGCCAGACCTTTGCAGAGGTAGCAGCCAAGCTCTGCAGGCCAGCCTGTCCCTGATTCTCACAGGGTCGCCACTGCCCCAGGAGCAGAGACTCCACCTCCCAGCTCTGTTTGTGGGTCTCAGCGGTGGCTCTCTATCAGAATCTCTGCGGAGCTTTTTGAAAATGCACTCCTGGACTGCCCCAACTGGTCAATTCAGAATATCTGGAATGGGATCAGAGGCAGATTTGATATACTTCCAGAGGACTCACGCACAGCTGCATTGAGAACCGTGAGGGGAGAGGGCACCTTTCGTGGCTGGGGCAGCACAGCAGACGGGCAGCTCCCACTGGCCCATTGGTTTTCTCATGAAAGCTTGAGGCCCAGTGATAGCAAGTTTAGGCTGCTGCTCCTGATAAACATGCCCACATGAAAATCGTTGCTTGTGTGGCCCATGCACCTGTCTTCTGTTGTCATAACTGATGCTTTTTCATTATCTCTAACTTCTGCTTTGCTAGATTGCCCCACTAAAGTGGGGAAAGTAACACCCCAAGTAGCTGGGTTGAGCTGTAGGTGTTGTGTTTGAGCTGCGGTTTCTCCAGGATTTTGTGTAGGAGAGACAGGGGAGGCCTTGGGGTACCTGGAGGCATTTAGTATGACCGGTGCCCTGTTTTGAGTGATTACGAGTAAATGACCTAGAAGCAGCTCTGCGCAAAGCCGTCTGTGTGTGGCATGGTGTTGTGGTTTCCTTCCCTCCATGCTGGGTCTGGCACCAGCCCCTCTCCAGTGGCAGCCCACGTGGCCCAGGACTTTGGCCAAACTCATTCATTCTTGTCTGTATCCTGCTTCCTTTCAGCTTAAAAGAAGGAAAGAATTGTATGGAAGGTCAGCCATGAGCAATGTATTTCTATAACTCAAGGAGGCTCCCTGACTGCCACTTTCCTTGCTGGTGGCATGCACATAGAAGAGGCGTGGTGTGTCCTGTCCTCAGAAACGCAGGCAGGGTTGGTGCAGGTCCAGCCCTGTGGTCGCTTGGGTGCAGGGACAGGCTCCCGGCCCCACCAGGCCTCGGCAGCAGAGCTGGCGGGCTCCCCCAGGGCAAGGGTTTTAGGTCCGTGTTTAGCTGGAGTGCTCAGAGCACAGAGTCTGCGTGCAAAGTTGACGTGCTGAGGAAACACCTCCTATTTTCTGTGCTCAGCAGATTGTTCGGTTCCCAGTTTTCCATGCTGAGGCTTTCACAGGCCTCAGCCACGTTTCCTCCCTTCCTCCCGCAGCTGGTCCTTAGTCATTAGGTGCTGGTTCTGCGGATTCTTTTTCTTCGTGTGTAATTTTTATGTTAAAGACAGCTGCGAAGTGCAAGATTCAGAGCACGGAGGAGTTGTTAGGATGTAACGAGAAGTTGATCGTCCTCTGCGCTGAGTCGTTTCTTGGATCGGAGCTTAGTGACTGATGGTAGCGCGTGTCCCTGTCCCGCGGGGACAACATCCTGAGG